CGCAATGATCGAACCGAAACATTTCGAGAAGCTTCAACCTCATTTTTTATTGATGCGCCGGTACGCTTTGACGGCGATTTTGCGAATTTCGAGTCGTGTAATTCTATTAAGATCAGGTTCGACCTTGTTAACGTTCGTTAGAGTGTATTTGTTTGTATCAGTTTACGTTTCAATTGGTCGTTGGAAAATTAATTTCCATAAGTGACTACAGATCTCCTTCGGTGAAGGACGCACATTCAATTAATAAATTACAGATTTGCAAATATGGTAATTCCAGGTTGTAAAATATACTTTCAGTTGAATATCTTGAAAAATATATTGCTGATCTGAGCTCTGTTGCTTTACACATGAACACTATCGTGCAGTATGAAATGTCGAATTTTAAATCATTCGTAAATTGATCGTTAAAGTGATTAATTGAGTTTGGAAGAATTCTGAATTTTCTCGTGTCAACTCAAAGTTCATAGAATTCTTGTTAATTCACTGTCGGAGAATCCAATCTGTAGGATAATCAAGACGAATGTGACATTTCCCTACCTAACACTATTTCCACGAAAAAGCAATTAGCTCTTTCGTAACTGAATTCCCCTCGAAAAAGCGAATCAGAGGAGTGGTAAAAGGAAGAATTAGACACTAACTTGCCATCTGTACCGTGCAAGCTAAAACCAGCAGCGAAGGAAATAAACTCATCAGAATCTGGTTTACCCTGCTCGACAAGACGAACAGCTTTCCCGTCGAACCTGTTCGTTTCGCTTTCATTCAGCCAATTTCGCAAAACCACAGAGAGACGAAAAGTTGGTAACAGAGGATCGTGCGAACAACGAGCTGCGACAGGGTCGTGTCGCGGATAGAGATCGCGGTTCTAATTTCGCCGTAACTTTTAAGGTTTCTTCCCCCTTGCCGACATAGTTGCTGAAGTTCGGCCAACGTATCGGACCGTTCAGAAGTTCTCGACGCTCACGGCTATTTCGGTTAGCAAAGAGAGAGAGAGAGAGGGAAGGAACTTGGTCTTTTCCAGTGGAACTGTAGTATACCGTCCAATTAAGCATAATGGAAGGAAAACATCGTTCTCAGACGCGGTTGTGTCGTAACGCAAGAACCCGCGAGGACGATAACGCGATTCTTCCAACTTCTACGCGATATCGTCCCCAAGAATGGTAACTGTTCCACGAACCTGCTTTCCTTCGTTAACTTTCCACGACCCGGTATTATCTTTTTACGCCACCAACAAAGTCAGATGGTATCAAAATTCAATGCAATCGTTCGAGTTTAAATCAGTGGATTAATGAAGAAAGATGTTCAACGATTTTCAGTGAACATCAGGTAAAACGAGCGATGACTTACAACTTGTAATCGCAATTTCGCCGATCAGCTCTATCGAGGCGATCGCGGAATTAGCTGAGTTTTATACAGCTCTCGAGCAATTTCCCGTTCGCAAATCAAAGTTTACAGTGTGCGTTCATCGACGGAACACGTGAAATTACCTTTGGTTTGTTTCCAGCTCGAAAAAAGAAATGAACTCCCTCTTGTACGTAGAATAAAACAACGAAAATGCGAAAGAAAAAGAAAACGTGCGCGCAATCGAAGGGTGTACAGGTCGAAATAATCGTGGAACGTAATCACGATCTATGGTAGCTGTTCGAGGCGATAAATCCCGTCAGGCGAAATCGGTCAGCCGGAAAGAATTATCGTGCGTCGACAAACGATAATCCCGATGTACCGAGTGTGTACACGGGGGCCACGTTCGTGTAATTCCAGCGTGTACGAAATAGCGTTTGCAACATTTACTCCGCCGTTTATACTATTCTCCATTAACAGTTCGTCGATTTGTGGCCGACGATTAAGCGTGACCACGACCAATCCCGTGAGTAATTACACGCCGG